CCCCAAAACCCCAAAACCCCAAAACCCCTGGCTCTTGATAAAAGACTGAAGTATAATTATTAGATATTTAGCTGAGGCTATTTATTTCTAGCCAAAAGCCAAATCAATCTTTTTGGTTCTTAAACTATGGTCTTGAACATTAGGTTTTCTATTCAATCTGACTATTGTTTTCTTAAAATTAAAATTAAGAATGATAGAAATAAAAAACTGACAATAGAAATTAAACAGTTATATTGATTTATTTTAGCGAAAGTTATTACAAAAGATTATGATATCCAATTTCTACAGATTAAATTTGACTGTACTCTCTTATAATGCATAAAATAATGAAGCTTACGGCTCTTTTGAGCATCCTCATTTTGCTCCATTTTTCTTTCTCAGTCCATAAAGAGTGTATAAATTTGCTTAATAATTTATTTTCATAAGAAAATGGTGTAATTTTTAGTACTTGATTTAACTCATTGGATTTATATAGCTATAAGTATAAATTGTTTCATTCCTTTTCCTTGAAGTTGGTTAAAAATCCTAGCAGCTCCAAGTGAATGATATTTCCGAGGCCTTTAATACAATTTATAAAAGGCATAATTTTTCTAACCTCACCCATCTAAACGAAGTTTTGCTGAATGCTAACAAAGAGTCTTTTAATTTATTCACTCTGATATTATCTTTATTTATCTTTAAGAATTGAGGAGACTTGGCCATAATGTAGACTACAAAGTTTTAGGCTTACAAAAACAATTAGCATGGCAATAATAGGCAGGGGTTCATGAATACTCCTACCGAATTTATAGAATACCCATCTCATCTTAATGAGTCAAGGCTACTTTAGGATCAACTAATCTTGAGGTAGTCTTTGTAAACAAGCCCCTAAATCATCTTCAAAAGCTGTTACCCATAAGAACTAGTGATTATAGAGTTAGCTCATTTGATGTGATTGACTAATTTACATTGGTTTAACTCAATTATAGATTTACTCAAAAAATCTTTTCTCCAGAGAATAGTGAATCAGTTTAAATATGGCTCCAAACAAGAGAGAAGTTATATTTACCTCTAAATCCTTCTTGCTTTCGTTTAATTACCACTGAGAGTCTTGATATACGCTTTATGTAAGTAATTAATCAAAACGTTCATAACGACAATACTTACATTCGATGAATCTGTGTAGAATATATAAGCTAAATTTTCTGCTAAATTAATAAAATTATTTACGAAAATTTATACATTAAGTATGCTGGGAAAACTTCCGACTAAAATTCAGAACTATGAGAAGGCTATCATTGATTCTCTTTCTTTACCAATCTACTCAGAAACAAGGGCTCTAGCCTTACCAATGGATATCTCTGGCCATGAGGTAGTTATGGATATGAACAGCCATAACTCATCCTTCATGGATATGTCACATATTGAGGTAAGAGCAATGATTATTTAAGCATTATCTGATTTACATTTTGTAAGGAGCAGTCTCATTTTCATTAATAGATCCCTGCAGTATCTCTGAATGATCAGTGCGTGAAATTGAATAAGATATCAGAAATTTTCTTCAAAGATGAGGATAAGTAAGCCCATTCTCCTTATCTTTCGATCTGAGATAACTTTATGAAAATTAGTTTCAGAGACCATCCTTATGAAGGGTCGTTTTGTGACTAGCAATGCTAATATTCTTGAGATTTTAAAAATCGTATTCTTTAATCATAGTTATGAATTATGCTCGGAAACATAGATTAGTGAACATTTTTAGCTCGGCTCAAACTTGATGAACGTCCTACGGATGATTTTACATGAATAACTAAATTTTTCGAGAATCCTTATTGTTGCCGAGGCTTTTTATAATATTCGACCACTAGTAATTTCATAATTTATTTTTGAGCATAGAGAGTTGAAATAATGAGTTGATTTTCTCCTTGTAATAACACAACATTTTCACATACGCTTCGAGAGTAGTGTAAATTTAGCATTTATTCCAAAGTTCAACTACTATTTTTTATCTGCGATTTTATTATTATTTGAAGGAAACCTTCTCCTCCTAAGCTACACTCAGAATTCAAATATTTAGTTCTTCTTTTTAGTTATTAACAATGATATAGGAAATTAGAGGAAAACAAGTCAGATTGTTCTTCTCCGAGCACTTCTTCACAAACTCAAAGAAACCTCAGCCAGGAATATTTGCAGCAGAAGATGAAGATGAAGCAGACTCCTCTTGAAGAAATCGAGAGGCTGAAAGGGTACAAATATGAAAGAAAATACATCTTTAACGATAAGACGATGAGGACCAACACAGTCCTTATTTGAAGATACGGGAATTGTAATAAAGTTTGCAACAAAACATGGGATTTACTAGACCACATCAGGAAGCACACTGGGGAAAAGCCGTATCAATGAAAGATATGCCTGAAAAGGTTCTCCCAAAGAGGCAATGTTATTAAGCATAACAAGATGCATGAGAGAGGAGGAAGAAAACAGAGGAAGAAGAGAGCCTCTAAAGCAAACTAATTCATCCTTAATAATTTCATTAACTCCTTTTTCAGAATATTAATTAGAAAGCATATGTATGTGATTCATAAATTTAGAGAAACAGTTTTTGTGACGTTTTAATCGTGAGCAAGACAGGAAAATATTATAAGAAGGATGATATCAGTTCAGATTAAGGACTCATCTAACTTCTTTAGTTTTGCTCATGATTGCCACCCAATATTGCTGTAAAAATTAGTAGAAATAAAAAGAAACCTTAGATGGCTCGAAGATTCTTTAGGATCTTTTTGAGCTTTCTCTGGACTCCTTCATTTTCTAATAAATTTTGGATGGGGTTACTTAATCTCAATGTGAAAGTAGGTAGTTGGGGTTTTGGGGTTTTGGGGTTTTGGGG